GTTTACAGTTTTTGAGTACCTTTTTTCTTCACTAAATGTTATGATTAAAATTTCCATCATCATGCAAAGAAGGGTTAAAATTCTTTATTTAATATTTAACCATACAGGCTCAAGAATAAATTTATTATTTGTTATCTTTTATTACTTCAAATTTCGCGTTCTTTATTTAAAATATTTCCGGCTTATTTTTCCTTGCATAATACCCCGCCTCTCTCCGTTCGGTTACAAAGAGCTAATCGGCCTGAATTCTATCCGCGGGACGTCTTATTATCGGCACGTAATTCGCGTGCCTGGCTTATGATAGGCCTTAAACTATCATCCGAGAAATACAGACGATCTCCGGAATTCAGCTCCTTTCGGGCTCTCCTGACCGGTGATATCAGTCGCGGCAGAGACGAGCCTTTCTTTTATAGCAGCGCTCGTAGGTAAAAAAGCGCTGCAATATATATATATATATATATATATATATAATTATATAATAATAATAATAATACTCATCATTATCATAATCACAATAAATGTTTCTATGTATATTAATTATAAATAGATTAGATATTATGTATTGAATTATTAATTTGTAATTTCTTTTATTTAGTTATTGCAAACTTCATTAATGTAATAATTACCTATATGAAAGGCGCTGCACATAAAACACAAAAATGACCAACAAAAGTTTTAAGTACATTATGCGACTTAAATTTTGAGTTTTTATTTAACCGCCATATTCAAGAAACTGTTAACTAATAAAGTATATTTATTAAAGTATAAATTTAAACTAACACAATATACATTTAAACCTGTAAACCACATTCCTTTTGTTTCTTGAAAATTTTGATAATGGATAGAAAAAAAAACACGGATTGTTCAGAAAATAATTTTTGTAAAAGACAGGAAAAACTTTTTATTTTTTTGTATTTGTCAAAATCTTTTTCTTTATGTTGAGAATGGTTACGTCTTGTGTGTGTGTGTGTGTGTGTGTGTGTGTGTAACGATTATATTCATTATCGAATTTTTCTGTACGGTTTCAAGAAACAAAAGGAATGTGATTTTTAATACAAAAAAAATTATTTTTATTAATTGTTACAATGCGTAAAACTTCTCCATGCTAGCAACGTACATACGCGAAGGCAGGGTTGGGCACGTATTATACATGAGATATTGTACATTGTATTTTATACAAAACAAATGTTTGTATAATAACATTTATACAAACATATATTGTATAGTTGTTGTTTAGTTGTATAATTGTTTGGGCACTTATAATTGTTTAAGCAATTATAATTATAATTGGGCACGTAGTATACGGTATAATACGTGTCCAACTTTGATGCCCACATAATCATAACGCAACTAACAATTATACAACTAAACAACAACTATACAATATATGTTTGTATAATTGTTATTATACAAACATTTGTTTTGTATAAAATACAGTCTACAATATCTCATGTATAATACGTGCTCAACCCTGCGCGAAGGCATAGCGTCGCCGCGCCGACCGCTGTAGCGACAGAGCGCTCACCCACACTATCAGGCGCGCGGCTCATTGATGTACGCCCGGTTAAAGGTCGGCGTTGATTGGTCTGATTTACTCAATAATTACTCCTTTAGTACATAAAAAAAAATTGTTTAGGACTTTTTGACTCAGATTTTAATGAGAAATAACGCTATATATTTAGTAGGCGGTCTTTCGTAGACACCCTGTATATACATAATACATCAGAGAATTTAAAATAATTTCTAAAATAATTTTGGATTTACATAAGTCGCGAATTTCACGAATACAATTGAAGACCACAGAGGAAGAACTTGATAAATCACATTTTTGTAATTTTAGAGGAGAGCGATTGTTTGAAGTTTAAAACGTATATGTATTTCTGTGTGTGTATTACACGTTTTACAAAAATGTTTATATCTTGGAATTTATCAAAACTTTCCTTTTTTCTCGCATTGGATAATTAAAAATACTTCATTTTAACTATCAAATAGATCAAAAATAGAAAATAAAAAAAAATGACTTATCAAGTTCTTCCCCTGTGATCTTCAATTTGAATTGTACATAGAAGTGCATCATATCGTGCCGCGTCAAAGAAAGTATTTCTTGGAAATTTCTTCTCCGGCTACTCCTACTACCGCGCGTCGTTTGTCTTCGATCTCAGTCCGCTAACAGAGACCAAAGGAAACCGGCGCGCGGTAGGGACAGCCAAAGGAAAAAATTCCGAAAAATACTTTTCCTGACGCTGCACGATATAGTGCATTCTTCTGTACTTAATCATATTTTCATGTAATTAATCATAGTTTTATACATGAACGCGCGTGCATGCACACACATATATGTATATGTATACATATACACAACATTGTAATAAATTTAAAAAAAGTTGTTCATGGAATGAACACTAATGGAATGAACGCACAACGACTATATCTTTAAGGAGTAGCAGTGAGGAACGCGTTCTTGAAAGTCCAACCGACGTCGCAGACACGATCAGACGTGTGAGTAGTCACGAGGATTTCAACAGTCAGGAGCATTTGCATATTTTATCGCATCTCGGTCAAGACATAGGTCATGGAGTGGTGAGTAAATAATTACGCTAATAATTATGTAACAACAATTTATTTTCATTTGCTTTGTGTCAAAAAACTTGTTTAACTCTTTCATTACTGTTGGCGCTTAACTAAATCTTGTCATTTGAGCTATTACTATCTTCAAGCATTCAACCAATATCACTCAAATGGTTCTAGAAGTGTCTATAGGCTAAACTTTTGATATTTATTATCGGTTATATATTTGTATATTAATGCAATGAAATTCAGTATTTCGACGACTTTTATTTTCTTCAGAATGCGCGCCAGTATTAGACTTAGTCGCAACGAAAGGGTTAATCTTTTATTTACACAAGTGGCAATTTTTACGAAACTTTAATCTAGATCGCTAATTAATCTATCATTTTAACTTAGAGATGCGGAGGATTACCGCTTCACGAGAGAACTAATGTTTCGCCAGTTTCAAAAAAATCATTATCAGTACCTTCGCCGTGCGAAGTAGTTGTGGCGACTGAGAAATATGATTGTGATGCTGAAAAATTAAGAAGTAGCGAACGCTTTAGTAGAAGTGTTACTCCAAGAGGTAGAAGACAAGCGCGTAGGAGGAGAGTACATAAAATTACAGATACAGATCAGAATTCTAGCAAGGTACACTTGGCACTAAAATCCGCATGAGTTTTACTAAAGATCTTGACATTATTTTATGATAGTGTACAACATGTTAAAACAAAATAATTAAAATATTATAATAAAATATACTTTAATATAAAAAATAAAATTATACTACAATAGGATATGTGTATTGCAAAGTTTTTGTATAAGAAGTGAGCAAAATTTTATTATTTGTTAGGAAAACGAAGAGGAGTCTGAGAATATGTGTATCTCCAGTGTATCACCGAATCCTAATAGCCGTAATGACTCACCAGCTCAAAGCTTTCTGGAAATGTTGAGCAGCGGACCGAGCAGATCGCCTTCGCCAGCTCGTCCACCTACTGTCAATCACGAAGATGTAAATAATCCCAGTTTAACCAATTGGAGTTTTCAACATTTGGAAGAAAACGTAAATATCTGGCTTCAAATATATAGTTGTGCGACTATAGATAAAACAAATTATATTACTAAAAATATTCTTAATATAACACTCTCAATTTATTAAAAATGAAATACTATAAAAAATACACACGCAAAATAAGTTTACATATATATATATATATAT